ACATCCAAAGTGTTTTTAATATTTTTTTTTTTAAGAATTTCAGAGGAGTCCAGTTTGAGTGTTTTCATCAATTACAGTGTTCCTTCAGAGCATTTTTAATGCAGACATGTCTTCATAAGAGCATGTAAGATATCTGCCTGGATTAGACCAAAGTTCCATACAACCTGGTATTCCTTCTGAGGCGATGGTAGCCAAAGTGGTATTTAGGGAGCCCAGTTCCTTTCTCTAGTCTCTTCCTCCTATGCTCCCTTATCACCCATACTTGTAATAGAGCTGGTGACTGTCTCCCTAGTACTTTTAGCATCAGATTCTCAACCTGTTCTCCATGTCTCTAATCCCCTTTTAAACTGGTTTATACTGAACATCTAGCACAAACTTTATATTATTTTTTATCTTGAATTGAAGTTATGTAGGCTTTCTTAATGTTTCATTCAGCTTGAGCAAAACATACCTACCTTTCTTCTCCAAAATATAAATTACTGTTTTTCTCATTTGCTTTTTGCTAACAAGGAATTTTTATCTAACGTTTGGTTTTGATTCTTGTATTTTAGTTTAGAACGGATGCATGGGAATGAGCCAGTAACTGATATTAATGTGGCAAGCTTGCAAGAGCCAGATGCAATCTCTGTTCTTCAGCATCTTCTCAGGTTTGTCCAGATTTCTTTCTAAATACCATTTCCTTTAAAATAAACTTTTGGATTTGTCTCCAGTCTGTTGAGAACACACACAGCCACTTTTCCCTTTTAATTGTGCAATTTTGGGGAATGGCTTCTCTGTGAAATAATGATTGCAACAGTAGTCCTCTAGGTGAGACCAGTGGTGTCTTACTTATCCACTGCAATTATATTTTTCAGAAAACTCATGGGTATTTCTTTGGGTTTTATCAGATTCATGCATGGCTGTCCATCACATATGTAACAGCTGACATGGTGCTCTTGTTGACATGAGCAACCAGCCCTCATCAGAGCTTGCTTTGCAGTTCCCCCTCAACTTAAAGGAAGAAGATCTCAGGGAAGTGGCATGGGCATGATGGGGGATGGGCTTGATAGCTAAGCACAGAACAGGAAGCGTGCTGTCTGCTTTGAAATCATTCTCAGAGGCGTGGGTAACTTCATACAGGTTGTGAGAAGGAGATTGTACACATATAGACTTGAAATAAAACGGTGGATCTCTATCAGTCTGCCTCTATTTTCCAGTTGAATACTGTCTTACATAAGTTTATTTTCTTCCAGGATTATGTAAACCCAATTTGTTTTTCTCTTTTCTAATGCTACAAAATTCCCTTTAGCTACTTAGAATTTTAAGTTGCATTTATTAAAGGCAGCATCTAAGGGACTATTTTGACTGCCTTGGTTATTTAATACATGTTTTTTGCTGCTAGGAACTTGCAATTACCGTTGAAATGTAAAACCAGACATAATGTTCCAGGGGCAAATATAGCTTTTGTGTTCTCTTTGCTATTAGCGTTTCTTTCTGAGCTCTGCAATCTGCAGTGTTTGTTTGCGTGATGAGCAGAAGCAATCTCTCTCCAACAAGAAGTAACTGAGGAAGAAATAAACAATTGTGTGTTAATTACATAGCTTACGCCTGTTTCAGAAGACTATTCCTGTTAATTCTGTGTTTGTTCTGATTTAAGCACATCTGATAAGCCTTATAGCCCAGTAAATTTTCCTACCACTTTAACGCCAAGCACTTATTTTCTTTTTCTGCAGGTATGATGAGGTCCTGTACAGATCTTCTCAGGATCTGCAACCCAAGCACATAGTCAGCTACCTTCTCACACTTAGGTAAGGCAATTGCTGATACCAGCATCCTTCTATGGTAAGTGGTGCCTGCTTCCCCTAGCTGGCTTTGCAGCTCTCATATCCACTCTGTGTTGAAGAGAAAAATAGAGGAAAGATTGTGTAAATTTGTGGGATAGTCTCTCTTGAGGTGAAAAGATATAAAGAAGGATAACAAATGATATCACAAGTAGTGGAGATGAAGGATGGAGACAGCTAAAAAGGAATCAGGAGTCTCCTGAAAAATGGCTTCCAAGGAGAATCATTTGACTGTAACCCAGTGCCAGGAACCAAAATCGTGCCAGACTGACTATATCGTTGAGAGGAGATTTGAGCTAGTAATATGCTCATAAATCTCAAAACTTTAGCTATGAGATTTTTGTCCAAAAAACTTTAAACCACTGATCTCAGATGATGCACTGAGTTGGACAAAGCACATGTAATAGCTGTAAGTCACACTGGGGATGCAGTCTCCATGGGGGGGTTCCCCACGGGGAGCTGTGTGACTGAACAGGATGGTGGAACACCAACATAGAATTGCTGGAGGAAGTTGTAGAGCCTGTGCGTGGGGGAGATCTACATAAGTTAGAAAAAAAGTGTATAAAGAGATGCATAATGTTTTTACTCTTCTGTAATCTGCTTGGTAGTGTATGATGTACATGCTAACTATTTTAAGGCTACTTGGGTGTTGCATTCTGTTGTTGTTTTTTACTTGGTAGACATATTTCCATCTGAATAAGTTTGAAATTATTGTCTTAACTTTTACAGAATGGCTCAAGTTAAACTAGGAAAATGTTTGATATATCTTGTTCAGATACAATACTGTAAATTAACCATTCATTATGCTTAAACATGCAAATGAATGAGTCTCAGAGAATAGACTTGTATTGGCAAAAGAGAACAGTTAGGTGAAAGGACAGAATAAAAAAGTACTGACATGGAATGTTCTGCCCTCATGAGGTCTCATCTGGAATCTGCATCCAGGTCTGGGGCTCACAGCTCAGGAAAGATATGGAGAATTTGGAACAGGACTGGAGGAGGGCCACAAAGCACCTCTTCTATGAAGACAGGCTGAGTGAAATGGGCTTGTTCAGCCTGGAGAAGAGAAGGCTCAGGGGAGACCTGATAGTGGTCTTCCAATACTTAATGGAAACTTGTAAGCAGGAGGGAAATTTACTTTTTACAGGGATAGGTATTGATAGAACAAGGGGGAATTATTTTTAACTAAAAGAGGGGAGACTTAGATTACATGTTAGGGGGAACTTTTCCAATGAGAGAGGGGTGAGGTGCTGGCACAGGCTGCCCAGAAAAGCTGTGGATGCTCTGTCCCTGGAGGTGTTCATGAGCAGCCTGAATGGGACTCTGGGCAGCCTGATCTAGTGGATGGCAATCTTGCCCATGGCAGCAGGGGTGGAAGCAGATCTTTGAGGTCCTTTCCAACCCAAGCCATTCTACAATTCTATGAATTGCGTACCTTAGCAGTGACAAGGCAGGCCATGTGGCTTCCAAGGATCTTTCCAGACCTTTTTTGTTGGGGGTGGGGAACAAAATTTTTACAAGCACTGAGTTGTTTATGGTGTGCCCTGACAACATGCAGGCTCCAGAAAACCACGGCCTCCCTCAGCAGGGATGAAACAGGCTATCAGAAGGAAGTCTGTAGTACACTGCACTTATGGGTTTTCTAGTTCTGCTGCTTTCTGTAGCCTGTAGCACTGCTCTTATAGAAAGATGTGCTCCTTCTCACTTTGCTTTCCATTTCAGCCATCTTGCAGCTGTGGCACATCGAACTCTTCCTGTGAAAGGCAGCACACCTGCACTAGCCCAGGTATGGCTCAGCATTGGCACATAGCAGGAGGGCAGCCCAGGAATGATTCCCTAGGACTTTGCTCTGCTGTGTAACCAGTTGGCACAGCATGTACCTCCAGACTGCCCTGCAGGGTGACACCACTCTGGGATGGCAGAAGTTGCTGTTTGTGGCTGTACCTTGCAGAAAGGGCTGCTTCAAAACAGAGCAGTCCAAAAAGAACATTGCTCCAAACCAAAACAATTCCTCTTCCTTCTCATCGCTTCTCATTCTGAACTTTTGAAGTAAATATTTAAATATTTAACTTGTTAATTTCTGACAGTTTCCATTAGCACATATGTGGGAAGAGAATGAAGAGGTAATGGAACTTTTCTCCTCCCTCTTGCCACCTACATATCCCAAGTTGTCTATATTGCCATTCTAACCAAAGCAGCGAGGCTGACAACTGCTGACTTTGGTAGGAAGTCACATTCAAGTGCAGAGGTGTGTTGTGGGGGAGAACATTACTGTGGGCTTCATGAAGCTGTAGTCCATAGCTCAGCTTTGTTGCTGTAGGTATTCCTGCCTTCAAAGATGGTTCTATGCATTCTTGTAGAACACTAAGATGGTTCAAACTGCAAGGAACATTTCAGATCCGTATCTTGTGAGAAGTCTTTCTCAATATCCTAGTGTGCTACCTTTTGAGAGCTTTTCTTTTTTCTTTAGCAAAGTTTTGGAACAAGCTCTTCCCAAATATCCAGTCATGGAACAGCTAAGCAGAAACTTACAGGGCAATGAAATTTTCAGAGCAGCCTCAAGCTGACAGCCTCTAATCCACATGTAATAAGAGGAGAGACATCAGCAGGGTCCTCTGTCTGTAACAGCTGTGCCATCATGTTGCATGAACGTTTTGCACTTACAGTAATCATTAGCTCTTCTGTGGGCATCCCCTCTGGTCTCTCTGCCATGAGATTGTGGTGTTTCTTTTGTTGTGGTCCTTATCTATGAATGGCATGATTAGCTTGGGCTGGACACTGCTGACAAAAGTGTCCCTTTGACACTATCAGCAGCTCGTGTGAATTCTGCCAGTGCTGGTGTTGCTCAGTGCTCAGATGGTGTGCATTCTTACCTTTTAAAAGGCTGCTGCTGCCGGCTGTGTCCTGTTCTGCAGCATCCTGTTCTGCAGCAAACACAAGCTAACTGTTGCTCTTGTTTTGCAGGCAAGGCTCTGTCTCTTTCAAGCCACACGCTCCGTTCTAGCCAATGGAATGAAGCTTCTTGGCATTACACCTGTAACTCGAATGTAATGAGGCTGTATGTGACTTCACATCTCTTAGTAAAAGGTTATTTTTCAAGAGAATACTCTCCAGTGAGTCACTGCTAATATTGTTGGGTGTCTGTATTGCAGAAGAGCACATATACTACAACCATTTGAGGGAGGCAGTGGTTGTCATAAGTAATTTTTTCCATACAATAGTAGCAGAGTATTTAAGACAGTAGGGTGTAGTAGTTCCCATAAAAGACAACTGTTCTGTATTTGCCTTTGTACATATAATGCATCCTTTTAGTAGAGGAAGTGATATTACACTGTACTGCCCTAAGCAATGGAAGTTCTCTCCTTCTGCAGTTGCCACTGTGTGCTTAAGCTTCATGGTAGGAGGGATGCAGCTGCACCAGGGATTGTAATAGACCCAATTAATCACACGTGTCAGACATTTTTCATGTTGTATTGCATTCCCCCTTCATCAGCCAGGACAGCCAAATCTGTCCACTCCTGTTCCTCTGTTACACTCACCTAATGACTGAGGTGGAGATGGGTGGAGAGGAAACATCAGTGCTCCCTCTTCACAGTGAGAGGGAATAAAAGTGCTGCTTGGCAGTGCCAGAGCATAGTGTGGCTGCAGGGGGCTGGAACATCACACCAAAATCAGTGCAGCTGGCTGCTCCAGCCTCTGAAGTGCCAGGCAGCACCCACTGCTACCAAAGGGGCTGACATACCTGAGTGGCACTTTAGTGCTGTGCTCTGTCCCAAATGCACAGAACAGTCAGCAGAAGGCAGAGAGGAACATCCTCTCTCCCTGGAACAGAATTAAAGTATCTTGGTTATTGCTGTGTTGAATGTGCCCCACACTGAAGTAAAACTCAGCCAGTTAGCTTAGGTCTGAAGGAATTTAAATGAGATTTGATCAGATTTTTGCCTTCACTTTCAATTTCAACAAGTGCCCGAAAATCAGTTTTCCCTAAACATAGCTAACATTTTCAGGAAGGGTTGAGCAGAGTGAGGCATCACGGAGGGTTGGAATGATACAGTTGGCACTCTTCAATTAAATCAAAGCATAACATGCACTACAGGAAACTGTTTTCAAGCACCACTTTGTTATGCAAAAAGAGTTTGGAGAAAAAGTGCACAGATCATCTTCTAGTCTGACACCTCATACTCAACTGCATAAAAGAAAAAAGCATTACAAATCATCCTAAGAACACCAGTGAAGTACTTTGTTCATATGATACATATTACCTAGAAGAGAAACCTCTCCTGTGATTAATCAGAGCTGCCAAATGGTTTAAGAAAAAATGCTGGCAGTAATTGCTCTTTTTAGAAGGTTTTTTTTTTTGAAGTTTTACAGCATTTTTTTCCCTCACAGGGCAAAGAAAGTTCATCAAATACACTGAAAGAACCAATTTTCCTCCATTATATACATTATATACAATTGAGTGTTCAGTTCCTTCATTCTGCTTTCCTTGTAAATGGAACTCCTCAGTGTCCGACACGAATGAAGAACGCCTTCAATAAGACACCCATCCAGCTCCCAGCAGTAAAAAAGCCTCAGTACCAACTGCTGGTAACTTCACACGTGAAAAAGAAAGAACTTTTCTGTTTTTAATCTATCCCCTTAAACCATTTCAAAATGAGCTTAAGGCTAATTTAAAAAATTCAGTTTTTATGTTTTTAAAGTCCTTTTTGTTTTCTTGTCTGTCCATTACAGGGACATTACACAGCAACAAGTCTCTCTTTTGAACTTTTAGTCTCTGAGGGCTGGATTTTTGTGGTGTCTTGTCGAGGTAATCCATAGAGGTAAATAGAAACGCACACCAGGAGAGCACCCAGGGTAAAGGTAACAGCTGAAAAGAGACAAAACAGTTTAAGTAAACACCTCTGTGTAAGAAGAAACTTTCAGAAGACTGAGCTCTGTAAATTATGATGTCTGAATGACAGTCTCAAGGTTACACAGAACTCATCAGGACAATACGTTTTTTTTAATTCACAGGACTTAAAATCACACTTACTGAAAACTCTCAAGTATTCACAATACCCCACAACATTTCAGTTACTTCATATCAGCAAGAATGGGGACGTGATCAGAAAAGCAAGGGTGAAACACCTCTTGCAGTTCCAGGTGCAATCTGACAGGCTTACATTACCATAAACTTAAAAACATGGTGTTTTTATGTAGCCAGGAATAACACTTTGTCTGTGTTTTCAAATCTTGACCCACTTGAGAAATACCATTAATGAGGCTTTCACAGAAAGACCATCAGTCCAGGTTTGGTTTGTGCCCAAACAACAGAAAAGTGTTCAGCCCAGGTGAGTTCTTAAGCTAGCTGCTTTTCAGCACCTGATTTAAGGTGCTCTTTTCCAGTCAGCAGTGGTTTTTGCATGCAAACCTTCCTTAAATTCCACCTCATTAATACCAAAAAAGTGTTTTTTCCACCATTGTACCATACCAGCACTAGATTATGATTATTATAGGAAAACTGAAAAAAACACATAGTGAAAGACTAATCAGGAGTCACCAGCTGCATTATCAGACACAGAATTCCTTTGTGGCTGTTGGACAGCCCGAAGCAATTTGCTGTTTCCTCTCACAGATATTCACCACCTAAGTCACGACCCCAGGCACTGTTTGATGTGCTCTCACACACCACTGGGCACAGCAAAGGGGAAGGGAGAAGCTGATGCAGCAGCACGTGTAACTTAACAGGATATGGTAAAACCTGTGCTGAAATAGGTAAGGAATTAATTTGAGACTGGCTGTAAGAAAATCAGCAAAAAAAGGATAACTTCTTATCAGCAGCTTATAAATAGCTGTATCAATATGCAAACCAAACTGTATCAGAAAGTGATTCATGAACAAAGCTGGGTAAAGCAGCAAGGCACTTAAACAGGAATGAACCTTTCCCTGTGAAATTATGGGATGCCTCAGAAAGAGAAAACCACAAATGCAAGATCATCGGGTACCTTATGCAACACAACACAGATTGTGTATTAACACATAGCAGTCCTGGAGAAGACCAAGTTAAAAACAGGAAAATTCAGAAGAGTTAAATACGTAAGAATGATTGCTTCAGTGTGAACTGCGTACAGTCTGCTAACAAGGCAGTGAGCACATGCAGTCAAATCAAATGGCAAAAAGACACTCACTTATCTGGAGACCAAAGAGGATGACTGAGGCCACAGTAGAAAGAACAATGGCTGCTGCTGCAGAAAAGCCTTTCATTATGTTATCTGTGTACTTCACAACAATCGAAGTGTAGAGGCCACCCACACTGGCAAGAACTGGAAAGCAGACAACATGTTTCTATTACTAGAGGTGTGGTAGTTTACCCTTAAAGAGATTTGTTTTATTCAGGTCCATGCTTAGCCTACATCAACCTAACTGGTAAGTTAACATGGAGCAAAATGGCATACCTACAATGGCATCTCGATCAGATGTGACTCAACTAAAGATGCTCTGCTTACTGCTCACTTAATTTAGACTGTTCTTTCAGCACTTTTAAATTGAACAAGAAAACAGAATTCTCTTGAAAATCATTTAAAAATAAATCCCTCAAAATATAGTAAGAAACAGTGGGTCAGACTGAATTTGTAGGTTCATACAATCAGATGTACCATAAGCTAAAATACAACAACAAAACAATGTAATGCCCCTATACCCACCGGGTACTTACAGATGACAAGCCAGACAAAGCAGGTATAGCCATAGAAAAACCCCTTCTCAAGAACTTGGGCTCCATCTGACATGTACACATAAACCAAAGTCACCACGATCCCCGATAAGTACATCTGAATATTCCTCACCCACAGGGAAGTATCTGAACTCTTCAGTACTTTCTCAAAATAAACTCCTAAAAAAAAGAAAAAAAAATCAGTAAGATCAGTGAAGCATCAACCTCAGGTGATTCACAGTTGAGTGTTTCAGAGCCAGATAAGACCATTGGAATCATCTCCTCTTACAGACCTTTCCATTTCACAGAAGTTCCCAATGCAGAAGTTCCAACAGCACGTCCTGTTAATACACGTCTTCCATGGCAGGACCATTTAATTGTGTATAAAACATGAAAAATAGATTCTGTTTCTCTTTACAGTTGCTTCAATTGTTGATGAGCTCCACTGCATTTCATTTTGGCACCTGGTGGTGTTATATCCCCAGGACAGTATTTATGGATTCTAGCATGGCATAGGATGATTTTTACCCCCATTGGGATAGTTAGCAATACCAAAAAAAACCCCAAAACCACCAAAAAAACCCAAACAAACAAACAACAAACAAAAAAACCTCAAAACACCACACATACAAACACCAAACAAATGCAACCATCAGCAACAAAACTAGCCACCCACAAAAAGGAACTCTGCTACCCTGCTACCCCGGTGCATCTCAGCACAGAGACTTGAGAATTCCTCTGGAAACCCTGAGTTTAGAGTGCAGATGTTCTGAAACCACAGCTTCAAAAATTACAACAACAAACCAAAATCTACCTATGCTTTCTGCTAATTGGAACTACAGACTGGTTTTGAGGAAATTGAGTTCATGGGAATCTAAAGCTCTTTGTCACAGTGCCACACTCATCACCATTACCTTCCCTTACTCTCTGTATTGCTGAAAATCCACATCTACTTCTCCATTTTTCAAGAGGTGCATGTCTGACTAAGAGGCCTCCATCTGACAGGTCATTGCTAGCAGCCTCTCACCACTGCTCCCATACCAGGGCTGTGCTCATCTCTGAAACTTCCTTTGCATCCCATGGACAACCATTTGCAGGACTCAGATGACTTCCTGAAGTGGGTCCAACTAGTTAAATGTTTACTGACCACTAATGCTGCCCAAGATCCATCACATGATACAAAAAACATACATGAAAGCAACAAAGCACAAAGAGCAGACCTATAGGTTAGATGCCCTGGACATACACTCTCCCTCCTGAAATGACAGAGTTGGCCTCAAAGAACATCTTGCTACTCTTTAACTCATGGAAAATACAATTCAGAATTTAATACAGTATAGTGAGACTGTATGGTTAATAAATAACCTAGAACAGATTTATTTCAGGTGTTTAAGAAAAGCAACCACTTAAATACTCTATCTGAGTTTTTCCCAAGTTTAAGCAAGAAGACAAACAAATAACTAGTCTTGTTTATGATGGCAGCACTTAAAATAACCCAGAATATCTACCTTGAGTTTGCTGCCTGCTGAGAACACCCACAGAGCATAACCACATATAATTAGTTTACCAGAAATTTGGCTGAGCACGAACCATATTTTGTCACATTTTATAAACTAAGAAAATAGAAAGTAAGCCAGTGTCAGATCACTACAGTAGCTGAGATGTAGGAAAGAATGAGTGCTGTCTAGGAGAAATTATTCCTCAGTAATGTTTCACGTCAGTGGTGCTGATACGTATTTGTGCATGTGTCAAAACTTTCACTAGCATTGTCAGGTCCCTGAATGCTTGGAAACTGTCACAGGATCAAAAGTTTGAAGAAACTTCTCTCCATCTCTGAGGGAAAAAACAACAACTTTTTGGGCTTTGCTGGAATAAAACATTCAGCATGTTAAGTCCAGAAACTGAAGGTTTAATGCCAAAATGACTTAACTATATTATGGGTGGAGGAAGGAAGAAGAGGTGAGGAATCTGAATAGGACATGTGTTGTTGCCAAGGGCAAAAGGAGCTGCATGGATGAAATCCTCTGTCTTTCTTGCTGCTGGAAAGCTACAGCTGTCAGTGAGGAAAACACCCAGCTGCAATCCTTTTGCAGGAGAAAAAAGCCACACATCTCTAAATCCTTAAGAGTAGCCTTCACCAGCCTTTCAAAAGGTCTGAATGTGGGGAGGCACAGCTGTCCACCCACCTCATCAGAGAAACTTAGAGTGTGTTAGAAGGCTTTGAATGCTTCACTGTGATTGCCCATCTCCTGGCTTGGGAACATCTCTGGAAATTAATACGCTTTGAATCTTCCAGATAAAGTTGTCTGAGCTCTACCAAGTCTTATTTACTATTTCTAATTCAAAATTTCCATTTCAGTGAAAAGACACCAAACAAGAATCAAGCCCTCCTCCTCTTCCCCTTTGCCAGCTAGAATGAGTTCAATGAGAGACAAGCATGTCTGCACAGCACAAAACTATTCTTGCATGATTATATGGCAGTGAAGAAGTTTTCTTATAGAGGGAGAGCTAAGCATCCAATCTACAGCCAGGAAAATATGCACCTCTGAGGCAAGTTTCAAATAGAATTGCACTACTCTGAGTAGAAATGTGGTTTGAAAATAAAGTAACATAACAAAAGTATTTAGTTTATCCAGGCCTCCTGCTACTCATCTTCCATTCTGCCTTACTTGTGCTTCATCTCAGTCAAATTTATTCCCTACAACTACAGCAATCTGTATTTGAAGGCTGAGCTTACAGACAAATTTAGTAAGAAGCTCAGTTCCTCTTAAAAAAAAAGCAAGTTTTTCATCTGATCACCACAGCAGAGCTGTTCACTGTAAAACCAGGTTTATAATGCTGATTATTAGTTGTACCAACTAAGTCATTATAGAGCTCCCCTTCATAATATTCTAAGCATTTGAAAGGCTCTTTTGCTTGCAAAGCAGCCTTCTAAGTTGCATCACATAAAACCAATAGCACATGCTCCTAGCCATTTGTTTCTGCAACTGGAGTAATCACATAACAATCCTGGTTTGTAAGTAATGCAAGTACTGCAAGGTAATTACAGGAGGGAATAAAGAGGGAATACAAGAGGGAATAAAGTTCTTTTTTATCTTATAACCAGCAAAGATAGCTTACAGTGTAGAGTACAGTAGAATAGAACAGTTGGCCACTTCAGAGATAACTGAAAGCTAAAGAACATTAACAAGGGTATTATCCAAAAGTCTCTGGAACAATGACAGCCATGGAGCATGAAGCACCTTGCTGGGAAGCCTGTTCCAGTGTCTGGTCACCATCACAGCAAAGGAATTTTTCCTACTGCCCATTCTGACCCCCCCCACCCCCATCTCTGGTGTGGGTTTGTGCCATTCCTGTGTTCTTTCAACACAGAATTTGCACTGTGCAAATGATGCCATTCCCGACTGTCCTATTGATGTAAAATGTACATAACAGAGAACATTCTGGTTTAAATTATTATATCATATATCAATATATTATATAATGAATTATCCAGTCACATCTATAAGAACTGCAAGTGGAAATAATACTTTACCTGCAAATCCTGAACACAGTACAGCAATAGTTATGGCTCCAAACCCTAGCCATGGATTCTGCTCTACCTGCAACAACAACCATTATTTTAAAAAGGATGGAACACTTCAGTAATCTACAATAATCCATTCCAGAGCTATTTCATTAAGTACAGCAAAACTGCTTGTATTGATTACAGTACAAGATGTATCTGACTAGCCTGAGCTGCCCTCCATATTAGCTTGATGTAACCGTGGCACGTTCACAGTGGAGCTTCATTTTCCACGTGTACTTTCACAACCCTGGCAGTGCTCAGAGGCATGGTTAATTGGCTGCGCCCAGACTTTACAACAGCACACATTGCCCTTCCCACTAATGCTGATGGTGAACTAAGACCTACAAAACAGAAGACACTTGTTTCTTCCTCTGAGAGATTAGCTCAGTGCCCTGCAGGGTGTGTTAAATAACATGCCCACACCCAAAAGGCACTGGGGTTTCACTCCTAACTCCATGAGGGCTTTGATTCCAAGCTCTCTGCTCCAACAATTACAATGCTGCTAGGGCTAAGTGCTGCAAACAGCATTGCTCAGATATTCCTCTGATGGTGCACTGCCATTACACAGATTACGATGATGGTAACTTACACTAATTGTAGCAATTGCTTGCCTTTCCAACAAGCAAGACTGGACCAGTACCACAAGCTTGTCTGCACTGGTCCACAGCAAATGACCAAACTAGTGTTTAAGTTCTGGAGGAGGTGGCTGGAAAGAGGAACTGGATACTGGTGGGTGGAATGTAACAGACACCGCTTTGATCACAGAATGGCCAGGGTTGGAAGGGACCTCAAGGATCATGAATCTCCAACCCCCTGTCACATGCAGGGCCACCAACCTTCCCATTTAATACAGACCAGGCTGCCCAGGGCCCCATCCAATCTGGCCTTGAACACCTCCAGGGACGGGGCATCCACAACCTCTCTGGGCAGCCTGTTCCAGCACCTCACCACTCTCTCTGTAAAGAACTTCCCCCTGACATCCAACTTAAATCTAAATTGATTCCAAGATGATGTAAGGTAACATACAAAGCATAAAAGGCAGTTTATTCTTTATCATGAAATGGCAAAACGTCAGCTTTTACCTGCACTTTGGTAGCCTGAGCAGGCTTCCACTGAACAAGAATAACGCCGCCACACAGCATGAAGACAGAGAACCACTGCAGTTTGCTAAGGGTTCGGTTCAGCATGAGGACTGTGCATAATGCCGTGCAGGGGATCTTCAACTGGTACGTCACCTACAGATGGGAAGACAGCATACAGCATTTGGTTTCATAAGCTCCTCAAAAGCAAGACAATGCAACAGGAACCACAAAATGACATTTTATATTTGTTGATTCCCCACAGATCCATGGGGTTTTGTACTGTTTCCACCGACAACAATGTGAACTGGAAGTGACTCCAGCAATGAGTGGGTTGGCACTGCAGCAGCGCGCTCTGAATGCAGCACAGCAGCAGTCAGCTTTTAGTTTAGCCTTTTTAAGGCTGAACACAGCTCCGGGTGCCAGGCAGACAGACAGCTCACACGCACGCCTCATGACACTGAAATGGATTTGTAGAGCAGCTGCTTATGACAATGTGCATTACCTGGTAGACTGCTGCATCCAGGTTGCTAAGAGCCACAAAAGCCATATTGTTTTGGAGAGCGTACACCAAAGATGGAACACTTAATTTTAGCAATTCCTTGGGACTTCCAAAGACATTTTCTTTTAAAGATGTTATTAACCTTGCCAGACTTCCCGATTCTCTGCAAAAGGAATAAGAGTATAACTGAGGGCCATCGTAGGCAGATACCTGAAAACAGAAATCAAACCAAGAAATCTGTCGGGAAGACGGAGCAAAACATGTTAGGTTATCATAGAATGGCCTGGGTTGAAAAAGACCAGAATGATCATTCAGTTCCAACCCCCTTGCTATGTGCAGGGTTGCCAACCACCAGACCAGGCTGCCCAGAGCCACATCCAGCCTGGCCTTGAATGCCTCCAGGGATGGGGCAACCACAACCTCCTTGGGCAACCTGGTCCAGTGCGTCACCACCCTCTGTGTGAAAAACCTCCTCCTAATATCTAAAAAAACCCTCCCCTGTCTCAGTTTAAAACCATTCCCCCTTGTCCTATCACTATCCAACCCTTGTAAACAGTTGTAAAGGTTATCTACAAGAATAAAACTAGTAAAAGTGAAGACTCCATTTTGAAATCAGGTTAAATGCATTAAACGTGTAACAGCCACTGTAAGCAGTGGAACAAGTATCTAAGTATACGGGCAGTGGGACAAAAGGCTGAGACCCCTTTCTGGGAGCTCTATTAATATGTGTGTGTCATGTCACATGTCTGCAGTTTTCCAGATCCACTTTAAAATGGACCTCACTATACAGGAAAAAAAGAAAGAAAAAAAAAGGATTATACCCTTCCTTGTGCTCTGTAGTGAAGCACTTCTCACACCTCAGCCAGCCTTGGTCTCCTTTCCTCACTTGAGCTGAGAGAGCAGCAAAAGCTGCACCCACCCACAGCTGCGACCTGACCAGGCAGGGCAAGGCGTGCAGTTCCCTACTGCCCTGCAGGCAACAGGAAAGAAAGAGTCACATTTTGTGGCTGCCCCTTTCTGCAGCTTGTTCCTCAGCCTGTTGGAAGGCTGCCCTCTGCATCGCTACATCTTCCTTATCAGCTGCACAAGAGCATGACTTTTCCTTCTTCCTTGTCACTGCAGCTCACTGCCTCCAGTTCTCAGCTCTCCCAAGCCCCACACTTCCTGTTTGCTCCCATTTTCTTCTCCCATTTGCCACGGACAAATACCAACATCCAATATCACTTCACTTCTGCTCTACCCCAACTATACCACAGACTATTCAATGTGAATCCTTGTACAGCTTTTAAATTTAATGCTCCTTTTGCCTCCCTTACACACACATATGAACAAATCCCCAGTTTCACTCATATTCCAAATTCTTTCTTCCCACACACATTCATCCTCTACCTGCTTCAAACTCAAACTATGTAAAATCTGTGTGTTCCAGGTTCATGATTTCATGGAATCACAGAATGGCTGGGGTTGGAAGGCATCTTAAAGCCTGCCCAGTTCCAACCCCCTGCCATGGGCAGGGCTGCCCCCCACCAGCTCAGGCTGCCCAGGGCCCCATCCAACCTGGCCTTGAGTGCCTCCAGAAATGGGGCACCTACAGCTTCTCTGGACAGCTGTGCCAGTACCTCACTGCCCTCTTAATCTCCCCTCTTTTAGTCTAAAGCCACTCCCCCTTTTCCTGTCACTATCTGACCACGTAAAACATTGATTTCCCTTCTGTTCATAAGCTTCCCTCAAGTACTGGAAGGCTGCAATGAGGTCTCGCCTTCTCTTCTCCAAGCCGAACCAGCCCAGCTCCCTCAACCTTTCCTTATAGGAGAGGTGCTCCAGCCCTCTGATCATCTTTCCCCCCAGACCTGCTCCAACAGCTCTACATCTTTCTTATTTTTCTTATGTTTGTTCCTTCATCAGCCACCTTATTCCTGCATATTCTCCATTCCTGAAGAACCTGACTGTTCCTGGCGTTAAAGGGAAAAAAAAAATATATGGATTTATGTCAATGAGAATAGGCTGGAACATTTCTTATACAGGCAGCTGCAAGGGATTCTTTTCTCATTCTCCCGTAACAGAGGAGCTGCAAAAACCAGCACCAGGGTAGTACAGTTTCCAAATAGAGGTGAGCACAACTTTGTACACTCCCACTTCGTACAAGCGAGGTCTCTTGCAAAGCTCCTTCCTAACTGAATGGGAAACTTTGCTTGGGACAGACTTGCTGACACTGAGCATGGCACAAAGCTGTCTTTTGCAAGGCCACAGGGACAACCACTGACAGAAAGATTTACAGGCAAGCAGTACTTCAAGTCTGCAGTACCAAGATGGAAAGAGTACATGCCAGTGCACCATGTTTAATTGCATTAGATAAGGAACTGCATGAAACATTATGAGTCATCAACATTATAAGCAGAATTGTTGGTTTATTTATTCTCTAGTGTATGTACAATATTGCCTGGCACTAGGAGATAAGAAAACTCAAAGCCCCTGGTATCAACCCAAGTACAGCCAGACTGACATGCTGCTGTTCCAGATATCTAGTTCAAAAGAACCGTATTTGAAAGGCTGTGGCAGCCTGGTAAAGTTCCCACTGATTGGAAAAGGAGAAACATAACCCCTGCTTTCAAAAAGGGGGAAAAAAAGAAGATCCAGGGAACTACAGCTCAGTCAATCTCAGCTCTATGCCTGGTAAGATCATGGAGCAGATCATTGTGAAGGGTCCTCCTAAGGCACATGGAAAAAAAAAGATGAGGTGATTGGTAGTAACCAATAAGTCATGCTGTTGGTGCAAGTCCATAGCTGGACTTGTGCAAAGCATTTGGCACTGTCCCACATGACATCCTGATAGCCAAATTAGAGAAAAATGAACTTGATGGATGGACCGCTCACTGGATAAGGAATTGCTGGGATGGTCACACTCAGAGTTGCAGTCAACAGCTCAATGTCCAAGTGGGGACCAGCAATGAGCGGCATTCCACAGGGATCGGTGTTGGCACCGGTGTTATTTGACATCTTTGAAGGTGACAGGGACAATGAGATCGAGTGCATCTTCAGCAAGTTTGCAGACAACACCAAGCTAAGTGGTGCAGTTGACACACTAGAGAGAAGGGATGCCATCCAGAGGGACCTGAATAGAGAGGTTGGCCCATGCCAACTTCATGAAGTTCAACAAGGCCAAATGCGAGGTCCTGCAGCTGGGTCACAGCAATCCCAAGCACAGATACAGGTTGGGTAGAGAAACCCTGAGGTTGGGAGCAGCCCTGAGGAGAAAGATCTGGGGCTGGTGGTTGATGAAAGATTCAACATGAGCCAACAATGTGTGCTTGTAGCCCAGAAGACCAACTCCATCCTGGGTTGCATCAAGAGAAGTGTGACCAGCATGTCAAGGGAGGTGATTCTGCACCACTACTCTACTCTCATGAGACCCCACATGGAGTACTGCATCCTGTTCTGGGGCCCCCAAAACAAGGACATTTTGCTGTTGTAGCAGATCCAGAGAATGGCCATGAAGATGATCAAAGGGCTGGAGCACCTCCCCTATGAGGACAGGCTGAGAGAGTTGGGGCTCTTCAGCATGGAGAAGAGAAGGTTCTGAGGAGACCTTAGAGCTGCCTTCCAGTACTTGAAGGGGGCCTACAGGAAAGCTGGGGAGGGACTTTTTGTAAGGGCATATAGCAACAGGACAAGGGGAAATGGCTTTAAACTGGAAGAGGGTAGATTTAGACTATATATTAGGAAGAAATTCTTTACTGTGAGAGTGGTGAGACAATGGAACAGGTTGCCCAGTGAGGTTGTGGATGTCTCCTCCCTAGAAGCAATCAAGGCCAGGCTGGACATGGCTTTGAGCAACCTGGTCTAGTGGGAATTGTGCCTGTCTATAGCAAGGGTTGGAACTACATGATCTTACAGGTCCCTTCCAACCCAAACCATTCTATGATACCATAATTAGCACACCCACATATATATGGAGTTCCACTCTGTAAGACTAAGAAGTCGGAAAATATCATATAGTAATGACTTCTATTAATTGATACCAAGATAGGTGGTTGAACAAGAAAATAACATTTAAACGACACCTGCCTCTGTCCCCAACTATATTCAGAAAGTTAGCTGAGCATGAGTTCCAAGACTAACCACAGCAGCAAGAGCTACTTATATCCACTTGGACTTCTGGCATGGAACTTCAGCAGTGAAGAACAGATGCCCAGTAAGCAGCTCTTTTTTTTCCACTGCAGTTTTTGAGAACAAGAAGTACTATATTATAGCTCATCTTTGGGGTGGGTTTGCTTTCTGGAGCATGTCCTAACCAAGAATCTCTGACTCAAAGTATAAAAAGGCCACGTGGGAAGAGATTTAACCACAACAGCAACAACAAAAATGAATTTAAAAAAAGCTTTTTCTATGTATCACTCATAATGCAAAACAAAGTGCCAAAAGATGTATGTTGCAAAATAAATAAAATTAAAAAACGATCCAGCTTGATTTCAGTATTCTAGACATCTATCTACATTTGACTTTAAAAATGTAGTCTGTTTTCTACAGAGGTCTGAACAGTTAATGGATGCTAACAGAAATTAGTTCTGCATTAAGAATACTCAGTTATTAAAAAAAAAAAAAGTTAAAACTATTGTTTGCAAATGAGCTCTTCCTTACCCATTACTAAGAAATTATGTACCACCCAAGAATGTGGTCAACATAATTACCAAATGGCCAGCTGGACTTGAAATAAACACGAGGAGTCTTTTCCCATAACAATACAGTTGAGTAAATAATTACACAGCTTAAACCATCGTAACCCTCCCTTCTGAAAGACAATGCTATGAATTCATTCATTCAATATGTTTTGCAGGAGAAACCCAAAAAGTAAACACAGCAAAAGTGTAGCATGAGAACGTGTAAGAAAACAAACTCTGGAGCCGGAACAAAGCAAGAGTCACACTCCAGTATCCTGTGTACTGTGGTTGTTAGGCTGGATGTTTCAAAAAGAGAAGGGAGTGGAATGTACCCAACTGAACAGGGTGATTTAAGTGGCTATTAAACTACAAAAAGCACCTTGCCTTGAAGGAGACAAATTGGTTAGAACTCTAAGCCTGGAGGAGGCCATCAGGCAGGCACTGCAGGAAGCCATGCTGGAACTGTTCAACATATTTGTAAGTGGTCTAAAAGGGGAGATGACCAGGATATTGCTGACTATACGACATTATACATGGTATGCAAAAGAGAACTTCCAGTAGCTGCTGAAGGGTTTCTCACTGCACCAAGCAGAATTCACCAGCTCTTTTGCTATGTGAGAACCAGTTTGGTTATGTGGACAACAAAGGATGATGTCCAGACCAGCCAGCAAGTAAGTAAGATGTCCCACCAAGAAAAGGTGAGCAAAGCCTGATGGACACTGGTGGTGGTGCTGTTCATTATCTCTCTCTCTTAATCATGGAGAAAAAAAAAAAAAAAAATAGCCGACCAGATCAAAATAGGTATCTTAACTTTCAAAAAGCTTGGTCGGTAACATTAATCCCATTTTAAATGGCAAATAAAACTCAGTTATCAAAAAAAGAGAAAGAATCCTAAGAGATGACATCCTCAAAACAGAGCAATAATCTTGAAAGTCACTATTGGCACTTAGAGAAAAGATGCGAGCAGCTCTCCTGCACCTCAGCCCACAGCTCAGCTGTGTTCCAAGGGTTCTTCAGAAAGGAACTGACACCAAGCCAGGGAGCACCTCTGCTCCTCTGCATTGTGCCACAGCACATTCACACCTTGAATGCTGCATGCAGCTCTGGATCTTGGTTCCAGGGATGTAGTAATACTGGAAAAGCTGTCAGGAAGAGTACTAGCATGATCACATATAAAGCAAACTAAGGCTCACTGGCTTAGAAGATACGAGTGAAGAAAAAACAATATAGACATGAAAACAAAAATGGCAAACACAAAGAGAGAAAGATTAGTCATGATGTCTTTCAACACAGGATGACAGAATATAGTGAAATTACTAGGGAAAGTGTTCATAAAATAACTACTTTTCCCATTTACTGTGTAATGATATTGCAGAACTCATCTCACAGGCACAACGGGATGAGCAGGTGGTATTACAGAAGGCCCACTGGTCACTGTAGTCTTTTACCTTTGACTCCCTGTATTAGCAGAGAGACAAGACGTCCCAGCTTGGGAAAATCTATGAGTAGGAACACGACAATTTTACATAACTCAGTATTCCATGGCTCAGTCACGCTATACCAAAATTCTACAAGACTCAGATTGTTGCAGATAACCCATGCTGACATGCTGAACCTACTCCAAAGCACACAAATACAGAAAATATGCAGACAGGACACACCTGAATAGCATGCTGTTTACAAAGAACCTGCAGCTAAGGAGGACTCAAGCCCTGCCCCACACTAAGAGGACTTTGCAGTGTGACCACCTATAATGCACTCAGATACAGCTGCACCTCAGCAACTGAGACGTGAGGTGAGGTGAGCAGAAGGGGTTGGTTTTCCACACACACCATTGGCATTCTCACACTCACCTAGCCAAAATACCCATGCTGAGGAACAGCTTGATGACTTCAGTGATGCACACAGCTGTAGTTGAAAAGTAGAGCTCTGCCCCCACCGTCCTGGTGTAGCGCAGTGCCACGGTGTATGTGGCAGCAACCAGGGTCATCACTGTGAGGCAGTACAGCTTGAACAGCAGGCTGACATTTTCTGAAAGGAAACAAAGACAACACCTCAGCATGCCTCTCACTTTAATTTAAGAATGGAAATGGGGCATCCTACAGCTGAAGAACTGTACCAAAGTCTACTGCAGCAGCGTACATGTTGTGAAGTGCTTCATGTACGAAGTCTAAGATCAATTTTAAAGTCTATTCTCAGACTCCCACGTGTCTGACAAAAAGATGTCCTCCTACCCTAATAATAACCCTTTGTTCTAGCATAACTAATCATAATTTATCTAAGTCTTCCTGTGCTCTCTCGCCCTTCAGCTACACTCATGCCAAACATCACGCTGTGTCCTGTTTGGGGGTCAGGCACCAACAGTGCTGCAGATTGGTAAAAACAAAGAGAGGGAAGTGCTCAGCATCAGCAAAGCAGGAAATGCATCTCAAAAACCTGACGGCAGCATTCTCTTCTGTCTTACTTTCCACCAAAGTCAGTAGGAGGTATTTCCTCAGAATGGAGACAGGACTTCATACAAAAGGCTTTCTTGGAAAATCACTCACTGTAGAAAACAAGATGTTCTGTCCATTCAGCTAAGTTCAGCCATGCAAGGACTACTTATTACCTGTGGCCAGATGATGCCAGTTTTTACGGTGTCAGAGAACGGCAGAGAAAACAGAGCCGGCTCCAAATGGGGTTTCTCTGTGTGAAAGTATCACCTCCAACACAAGAAATCTTGCAAATGTGGTGCGACTGCAGAAGCGTTTTGCAAATGAGCACATTATTCCCTGCTCTGTATGGCATCGTGGGGGCGATGGCCTTTCTGCAGCATCTGTTAGGCATTATCCATCGCATTCTGGATATCCTACAGAAACGTGGCTTAATTGGTGTAAGTTTACGTTCCCTCGCTGACCAGCTGAGCCATGGGATAGGCTGGGGGCAGCTTTGTAATGGCTCTGTTCACATAGCGAGGGGATGAACTGCCGAACCCACCACAGCCAACGCTGTGATTCATTCCTCCTTTTGCATAACACTTCCACGAGGTACAGTTAATGCCTCCCGCAACCGCTTAAATCAGCCGCTTCCTTACAGATACGATCTCCCCAGCGTCAGTAACCACGTCTGGAAGGCAGAGCGATTAGAGAGGGGAGGGACGGGCTGAGGGCTGACCGCACGTCACCCGCGCGGCCCCAGGCAGCGCAGCCGCGCTCCTCCGAAACGGCGCCGACACCGACGGCTGGACTCTCTGCATTTCAAGCTTTGTACGTCTCTAGAATCTAAACCCACGCAGCAGTGAACTAACGCTAAACGCAGCGTTTCCCTATCAACGCCGCTCTAAAAAATAACAGTTTGCGAACCCTCGTTGAAACCAAGCGTAGCGAGACGCCGTGAGCTGACGGCGCCGGGCAGCCCCACGTTTCCCCAGCAGGGCGCTCCGGCACGGCACAGCTCCCACACGGCCGGGCCGGGCCGGGCCGTCCCTCAGCCGAACCCCGAGGCTCTGGCGAGGCCGCTGCCTCTCCCCCGGCTCCGGGAAAGCGCCGAGCTTCGGGTCGCGCTTCGTCTCGCGAGGGCGGGGTTGGCCCCCTCCTCCTTCCCCTCTCCCCCCCTCCGAGCCGCGGTACCCCGCAGCACGCTCACCCTTCGGAGGCGACATGGTGCCGGCAGGAAGAGCCGCCGGGCAGCAGCCGCCCGCCGCGCCCCGCCGCTCCTCCCATTCACCATAGAGAGCCGCGCGGCCGCCTAGAGCGCCCCGCCCCTCCGCTTTCTACCATAGAGGCGGAGGCTCCGCTCGGGCAGAACGTCCACCGGCGGGGACGGCGACACCCGGTAGCGGCGGGCGGGCGGAGTCAGCGCCGCGAGGGGAGCAGAAGCCGCGTGCCGTGCGAGGCTCTGCCGCCCCGCTCCCCGCGCTGCTGCCTGCCGCTTTTACATTGTACAGATGTGCGACATGAAGCAATGAAGTACAGCTAAAAACCTTTTCCCGTTGGGTTTTAGTTTCTTTTTAAACACAAGCGATGCAGAGCTTTTCAAAAAAGATGCCCCAAGCTGCTATTGTGTCCTGTGTGCCCACCTGCACACCTCTCAGCTGATGTCAGCCCACAGAAATTACCAGACACCTCAGAGCATCCCACAGAGCTCCAGCTCCTTGCATGTGCCTACACTCATGAGGACATATGCCACAGAAGGACATCCACGAACATCCCAAGGATATAGGGAGATCCCATTTTGCTGGTCTTACCTCTTAAGGCTCTTAGGACAGCGTTTCAGCAAGCAATCATCATATTAAAATGTCAAGAAAATCCCAGAACCACGTAACACATTTAAATGTTGGTTTAAGTTAAAGTCTTCTGGCACATCTTGATTCAAAATTGCTTTTTTCTCTGTGTGTTTCAGGATTCATTTCTATCACTTAATGCCATCCTACTAGGAGGCCCCAGCAGATAAGTCAGCTCCTGCAATCAAAAGACACAGGATATCCAAGGCCAGGCTGGATGGGGCTGTGAGCAGCCTGGTCTAGAGGGAGGTGTCCCTGCCTATAGCAGGGGGCTGGAAATAGATGATCTTAAAGGTCCCTTCCAACCCAAACCATTCTATGATTTTTCTGTAACTCAATAATACTGAGATTCTTATATATAATTAATATATTTCCTTAAGTCTCTCCTTTTCTCTTAGGCTTTATCTACTGGTCTTGTTAAGTCCACTTTGACCATTTCAGTAGTAGCAGATGATCCTCCTCGGAGACCAGCCAAGAAAATCTGTGGTCTGGGTACACTGCTTGAGCTGTCACGCTTTGTTTGGGTGCTGACATCTTTGGGCAGGTACACTTGGGTGGAGTTCTCCCTTCTCAGATGGCTGAGATCAGTCTGCATGGCGTGAGTTAATTTGCGACGCAAATTGGCCTAAAGAGACAAAAAGAATCAAATTAAGCAAAATTTTGTTGGGACATTTTAGCACTGCTGTTATACGTAGGCAGTACACATTCTGCATTTGTAACACCTGTGGGCATCACAGATCTGTAACATTGCACATTTCACTCAAAATTTATTGGAATTAACTCTTGAGACTAATGGAACGTGTGAACAGCACTGTGTGCACAATTTTAAGTCAGCCTCTTGCAGGTTTTGTGTTTTCTTTGGTAATTGTGCCTTATGTGATGAGGTTTGGTGGTTGGTATCACAGATTACCAAATAAAAAGGAAAAAAAAAACAAAACTTCTTTCAAGACATTACTTGCTAGCCCCTTGGCAAGAGGCAAAAGATAATGTTATTTATCTGATGCAGTAGTTGGCAACCCTGTCCATGGCAGGAGGGTTTGGAATTAGATGATCTTTAAGATCCCCTCCAACCTAAGCCATTCTATGATTCCATGCTTTTATGATTATGATGGCAATAAGAAAGCCACGTTTAATCATAGCAACTGTTGTAGATACAATGACAAAACCTCTTCTTATGAAGTGCTGAAATTACAAAATCAGCTGGTAGCAAAATGTATGCTCCTTCTTCTATGTCACCAATGGTGTATAACACTGTAAATCATATGATGTTGTCACTGAAACACAGCAAATGCAGTCTCACACTGTGGGATTCAGACCCCAACATAAGTAAGGGGTGAGAAAGTTCCCAAAGTCCAGTCCTGTTGATGGAGCCTGAAGTGAAAGACAGCAGAGGTGGAGACCTGGAATTTGGTCTTCCCATCAGGAATCCAAACACTCTCCAAAACTCCACTAGCTAGATCTCTTGTGACTGCAGAGGAAACTGAAGCACCTAGGTGTAGAAAATCTACAGCCTAATCTTATGTCTTCTAAGAAAGTAATATTTTAACACTTCAAGTTTTCTGGCTAGATGCTGATACTAAACTGAGTACTTTGTCTCTCAACAGGTCAAACCAATGAGCTACAAATTTGCTTGTAAGCTCTTTGTGCTCAACTATTAGAAAACACACACCATTGCTTATGTTAAAGATAAACTGCTGAATATATCTTAACATCTATGCACTGATAATAACAAAATACAAACCAATTTTATAGCTTTTCTTCTCAGTTCCCACTCATTCCATTCATAGGATTTCACAATAGTTGGAGGCAAGATATGAGTATCAGTTTGAGTACCACTGTCACATTTTGTGACTGGTTTCATTGGAAGTTTGTCTGCACTTCTTAACTGGATGGAAATAAAAACAACAAGCAAGTCATTAGTGAGAAGGATAAAGGCGTTTAAGTAAGATAGCAAAAAGAAACCTGCAAACCTGTACATTGCAAGTAGGTAATGATTTTTACATTCAACAATATTTTTGATCCTATGACTCCACTAAAAAGAAAAGAAACTGTTCAAGAACTGCATGGATGTGGTACTGAGGGACACAGTCAGTGGGCATGGTGAGGGTGGGCTGACAGTTAGACTAGGTGATCTTAGAGGTCTTTTCCAACCTTTCTAATTCTGTGATTCTCTGCCAGAGGTGGGATATGAACCACCAAGGGTCAGTTCAAGACTGTGTACTTTACATTGCTAGGGATTTCGAATTCATGATGCAACACAGACAAAGTTTAACACAGCCAATCAAGCCCTTGGATTTCACACGGTAGAACTATCACATTCATTATGGTAGATCATAGTCCCTTTTCATTGTGTAAAATATTCCACAGTCTCTGTCCCATATATCACTACATCCTCAACCAACACATACAAATGAAATTCTGAGTGAAAGCTCTAGTTAATACGGTATCTGGCATATCTTCAATTGCATTTACTTTCTGTTCCTTTAAGCTAATTTTGCAAAAATGAGAAAAAGAAACATCAGACACAAGATTTTCCTTGGCTAAGGACAAACAGCTCTTTTTACCACTACCACAATCCTGCAACTCCACACATTCTCCTGGTAAGAGACAAGGTGAGAATGTTAAGGGAAGATGTTTCTTATCTACACCATGAAGATCTGGAAGAGATGGACCAACAGGCATCCTGTGTGATAGGCAGATTATTCTTCTGGGTATCACCCCTGTTCTTTTTATGTTCTAGAAACAACAGATAAACCAGCAATCCAACAGTTGTTCAGCAAGAGGCATGGGCAATGAGTACCCGCATATGTGGAGCAAGGTATCCAAACTGATGATGAAGGTTGAGCAGCTGAATTAGCTCTGCGTGTTCTTTTGCTTTTTCTACATTCAGTTGAATGAACTTATCTGGATCTTGAGCAAAAATGTATGCAGATTCTTTGGAACTGAAAACATAACATCTGTCCTTGTGCTTCAGAATGCCAATAGCAGGATTTCCTAAGGAAAAACAAAACCAAAACACTATGATATGCAATCCAAAAGGTAATTTTAATCAAGGTCATACATTTTCCTCAAATCAGCTTCACTTATTTTTTCTTTTTTTTTTCTGAAATCAGAATAAATCTCTGGAAGAAAATTTTTAAATACAGAAAAGTAAATTTCTTTAGGTCATCACAACTGCTTTTGATCACTTTCCAACCACTATGCCTTAGTCTAGACTAGTAGTTGTGCCTGTGAGAAAAACAATGGATGAAACACGTTATAGCAAAGGTGTAAAAAACACTGCCCATACCCAGAAATGTTTCCCCTAAAATCTCCAGATCAGCAGTCCCTTTATACCAAGGGACCCAACACTGAAATTAAGCAAAGAAGCAGAAGAAGCAGCCAAGAAGCTGGACAATAAAGTAAAAAAGGAAAATAAATGTCAATCACAGCCAAATAACTTATCAAAGAAAATACAAATTGAGCTCAGCTACAGTGAATGGCTCTGCTTTGGCTGTCTTTGTTTAGGAAAGGCTAGAATCACCTCAGACAGTGCTCTGAAGATATTAAATGGCAATCAAAAAAAGCATGAATAACATCAGGAATTATTCGGATACAGAAGGGGAGAAAAAAACAGTAGAAGCCTACATCTCTTATACTACATTTTGTTCCAATTCATTAAAAAATATAAATTAAGTGAAGTGAGCTGGAAGTGATCCAAGGCTTGGGATAGTTTCCACAGAGGTAGAGTTAAAGAAAGAGGTATCCTCACAGCACTGAGAACAAGCAACTGATAAGAAATAACATGATATGAGATTGTAATACCTGTAGAACATTAGATGTAAAATCACTACTTGCTAATTTTTCTAATAGGAAAACAACCTTTGATGAAATTACCAAGCTGGAGCTTAAAACCTTCTCTAAAAGAGGTACTTTTCATACTACACATAATTATAATTGTAGGACTTAACGACAATAAGAATATCCCATGGCAAACTGTAAGTGGATTCAAAAAGCAATTAGATAAGTGAAAAATCTCTGTTGAGGATTATTTAACAGAAAAGTGCAGACACAACATTCATCTGAAGAAGTCCCATAATCTCTGACTGCTGAAACGGGGAAGAATATAATGAAAGAAGTACTGTTTCTACTTAATTACTCATGATCTTCAAGTGTCCATGACTGACCACATCCAGCAATCTGTATGTATCTACAAGGCTGGAGAGACCTTCAGTCCAACCCAGGACAGCTGTTCTCACATGCAGCACTAAGTAAGTGTTTAAATATGTTTACACCACCATTAAATTATGTATTTGTTTATACTGCCAAGAAATTGCCATATTTTCCTCCCAGTCTCCTGTAGGTTTAAAATAGTCCATATGGATAGGTTCTATAAAACACAAGGAGACAGAAAATATGAACTGGTGGAGTAGCTGAAACGAGACTTGCTTTCAAGACAAGTGACCTTAGACAGACCAAATAAAATCCAACCATTAGCTGACCACTAAGTGCAATTTTGTATTATTGTCAGAGAAAACTTTTGGTACTTTGTATCTACTGTTTGAATAACTATCCATTGTTTAAGGCATGGATGTGTGTGTTTGCAACAAAGAGAAACAGTATTCTGTCTCTGACAATTTTCCAATGACTCTATAAAAACACATTGACAACAATAAACAAACCTGCATTCAGCTGCAATGTAGATTATATAGAAGCACAAATAGCAAAGAGGAAACATTCATCCATCTCATCTTGGCTTTGCTTCTGGTTGCTTGTGCCTACCATCCCTGAAGCCTTCCTACCTTCTATTTTGGGCATTTTATCTGGATATTTCTTAAAGAATATTTCTTTAACGGGGGAAATCATCCAGGAGTGAAAATTACAAAAAATGCAGAACTCTAGCTCTGAAAGAAGAGGACAGTTCCAGAATATGTCTTCACATTTCCCCTAGTACTTGTGTACATATAAAGTAAGGAGAACATCTAACTGCAGTGCATACCTGGAAGGGTGAGGCCTTTTACACCAATTGCATGTGCACAGAAACCGTGGTACTGGATTAACAATTCATCAAAATTAGTGGTAGTCTCTGGAAAAAGCCATTCCTGGTTCTTGAAGTCAGAAACATTCACTCTTGTCCCTATGGTTTAACATGGGAAAGATTTCAGTAACAAGACATCTGATGTTTCAAATACAATAAAGCTACAGGCTGAGCTGATTACTATTATCTTCACAGTGGGATATGCAGAGCCAAGATCCCAAAATCCCAAAATTTAAGACCTACCTCTGAAGGGATCCCAAGGAATCAGCCCTGAATGACTGAAAAATCAGTACTGGGGGATCCTGCTTCAAAAGCATTAGTTTTATTTGAAAACAGAACTGCAAAAGGATGGTAATATCAAGTGCTCCTATTTCGTTTTCACCCACTCACATACAATGCATTTCCTTGAATATAACTTGGTTTATGAGGGGTATCATCTTTACAAAAAATAATTTTGGCAAACAAAAACAAAAACGAAAACCCACCACCACCTCAATAATCTTGAGAAACGAAGGAAAACAAAACGGTAATAACTTTCAGTACCCATGGTTTCTCTTATCCTCTCCTTATCAGTTTTCACAGTCACCCCTTCCAGAAGAGATGTTAGCAGTTCCTCAGGAAAAAGCTGTGACTGGGTTTCCAAGAACTGCTGCAGAGAGTTAGTCATATTTGTGAGGAAACTTAGCAGAAGTATCTCATCCTGAAACCTGGACCATAGGTTAAAAGCTGCAACAAAAAGAGGCTAGGGAAAAGAAAAAAAAAAGATTGTTACCTGAAATCCAGAATCATTTTGTATCTGCAACACAACATGTATGCTATGCACAACAATTCATGATTTCAACAAAGCTGACCTGATGTACAAGGCTTTCAGCACTCAGAAACTCTGGGGGAAGCTCTGGGTTTTGAAAATGGAACTGCCACCTCAGTGTCAAGCACCTACATGTGGCCACAGGCCAGAATGGTACTCTTCTAGTGATTGGCAATCCTGCACATAGCAGGGGGGTTGAAACTAGATGATCATTATGGTCCTTTTCAACCCAGGCCATTCTATGATTCTATGATTCTACTATTCACTCTGAAGTCTTTTCCAAACAGATTACTCCAAGACCATACCTGGAACTGAGAGCTCCACTGACACTGCAGATTTGTAACAGGAAATGAGTTATACAGGAATAGGAAGAACCAGATGAACCACACCAACTAAACTAGCAAATGAAATAACCTCCCAGCTCCTATCATCAAAGGATCTGTCTTTGTCATTCTGCTTCCAGAGTGACTTAGTGCCACAGTGGCCAAGCTATGGTGTGTATCAGACAAATGGTGTGCAAGCCTCTTCAGATGGGTACGGCGTTCCAAACAAAATTGGAAGCTGCCATTCCCAGCAGCAACTCTCACGTCCACATGTACTCACATATAGAAGAAGCTTTTCAGCTTGAAGTATAAATATTTACTTCAATTATGTGTTTGGTAACATCTAAACATGCAGTTTTTATGAGAAAATTTTTGACCTATCCCAGATGGATGCTAACACCATTGTATTTCATGCATGTTACCAGCATTATTACATGAACGGTCAAAAGAGTTGGGTCTGGAATCTGTCAGCATCACAGCATGGTGAGAATGTTAAGGTTACAGAACTGGAAGAAATGAAAGGAAAGGAAGCAAGGATCAAAACCATTCTTTCTATAACAAACTAGAATAAAAAGAATATTAATAAAATCTACTGTCTTCTGAAATAAAGGTTTACTACAAATAGAGTCCTTGTTCTGTAATTTTAAGTGGCAGAATATCCTGCTTCTCCACATTCCCTCAGGATTCAGCTTCTCAGCAACTAGCCAAAGGCAACAAAATCTGTTTTGTAACAAGGAAATCTCCATCTGCAAACATCTGAAATCAAATCACATTACATATTCTGCCCTCAGCAGAGGAGAAGAAACAACTAACTAACTTGAAGAGAAGAAATCTGGGAAGCAGACAGGAGGAGAGAGCTTCTGAGGAGAAGGGCAGTGTGTATTCAGAAAGGTTGAACTCAGGTCAGTGAACTGAATCTTCACAGACTTCTTCCGTCACCAGGGAAGGGACATGATTTTCCAGAAGTCTCAGAGCCTAAACTGGGCTTCCTCCTCTCACCCACCCCTGAGGAAAGACTACCCATCTCTTTCCTCTTTCTTTACCACTGTGTTAAAGTATGCACCAAGCACTTAAGCCTTGTGAAGATACAGGAGAAAAACTGATCTGAGCAACTTGATGAGCAGTGTAAATGTTCTCCAAATGAGAATGTCTGGCCTGTAAAATCACAAGCACACATACAGTGCCAGATCACACTGTTTCCACAAGTTTTCTGCTCAGAATAGGCACAAGGTGCATGGTATTCCTCCTTTCCCCCTCTACATTAGACTTTATTTTGCTTTCTAATTACTTATTCTGAAGGATGAGATATTGAAACAACACAGGAAAACATTGCTGTAATCCTAAAAATACTGACAAATGACTCGAGACACAGCAAAATAGTATTTAATTTCTTCCCCCCATTTTGTACCTTGCTCTCCTTTTACCTTGAGATCAAGTCCCATAGTTTAGCTGCCTGCCCAAAAACCACTCAGAGTGCTTTTATAAGCTGCAGCTTTTTTCTTAAACTAGGCAAAACCACTCCTACAAAGTATTTAGCAATGTTTTCATAATTTTTTAATAATTAAAGCCAAATAGGTTTTCCTTTCAAATACTTACAAAAGCTTCTTTGGTATCTACAGAGACCTTATTCTGAATGGTGCTTTTTAACTGCCCCATTGTTGCTGTAAATTCCACGTTCAACTTTTCAATTTCTTGACCACTTGTAATTGTGTCAGACTGGAAAAAGAACGTACTTCAGGTAAGAAGTATGATAGTAAAAAAAAAAAAAAAAAGTATTTAGTAACAAAAAAATTACTAAATGAAATATTTTCTTAAGCTTTATGACATAAAGGATAGGCTAATAGAAAAAAACCAGACAGTTTTCAAAAGGCAAATAAAACTATCTTCATAAGTGTAACAAGTTTCAGGAATTTAAATTGTGTTCTTGAGACTTTGGATGACAAGTCCAAAGTGCTGGGGATGTCTACAGCCTAAAACTGAGATGATGTATGAACTGAACAGGCATAATTTTTCTTTCATCTTTCTTTTGGGTGACAGCTTTTAGTAGATGAAAATCTTCTTGACCCACATCTTCTTCATTTAAGTTCAGGTCATCTGGCTTTTCTTACTACGTATCTGATGGCAGAATCCCACTTTCTCCAGTCATCTGTGCAGTGTCTGAGCAGGCTGAGTCTCAGAACACAAACATGGCAAATGTCCTACATTTGCAGTCCTTTGGTGAAAAAAAAGACACATCCTCCCCAGGAAAGGAAACCTCCAGAAATGAAATAGAATCACAGTGACACTGCAACAAACAATTAATGCACGTTGCCTTTTACCTGAAAGCAGCAAAACCCAGCATGTTTCGTACTGAGCTCAGCAAGACAGATTATGTAGGTTCTCCTATACTGAGAAACATCTGATTTTGATTATTTCTGATTTCTTTCATTTTGATTTTTTTCCAGTCCTGTACAAGAAGGTAATTTGGATACCCTCTATTGCAATAAAACCCTGCAGGATACAACAAGGTGGTATCTCACCAGAAGGATGCAAAGAAAGGCCTCGTACTGCCTCACATTGAACAGTGCTTCTTTCAGTTTTAAAGAACTAAGCTGCCTGTATCTGTTCTGGTCTTCATGCATGGATTCCAGCAGAGCAGTGTAATGGTGGGCTAGCACATGGCAAGCATTAAGATGGTCTTCAATAGATTGTGTGGCTGCTGGGATAGCTTCGTTCAGAATGGCTGGCACTGTTTATACAGAACAAACACAAGATACATACATATAAAGAGTGCTTGAAAACATGAGCAAATGGTTACAGTGCAATATTAGAGCCAAGCAGTACTCTATTTAAATACTGAACTCTAGCCTTACATTCCCAAATGTTTGCATACTAGATTCAACCACTGTATCTTACAAGAAAGTCAGAATTACAGTTGTGGCAATACAACAGTCGAGGACTGTGCAGAGTCTTGCTTTACAGTAGATGCACTTCAGTAGTGCACGCTGACAGGTTTCCTCATTTGCAAAATACCAATAACAAAGGTAAATCTTGCCCTGTTCCAAATACACGTTTTCAAAAATTCCGAGATGCCTACTGATGTTTTTTTACACATGAAACAAGTAGGAAGTTTCAAAATGCAAAAGAGAACATATTAAGAACATGTTAAGAATCTGAAGAAGTAACTCTAAATTGCTGGAATTCAGATATTGCCCAAGCAACTTTTCTTTAAGTGTAATTCTCATTACTCTTACTCAACAGAAAATTTTAATTGGATCAACAGTGCCCTTTCAAGATCTTAATTAACTGCTTTTTAAGGCAAAAGTTACACATTTAATTCACTCAATGGCAAGAGATCTAAGAGCAAGTTTTTCTGAGGTAAATTAGTGCATGAAGTTAATATGTGTAATCCTTGAGGCACTGCTTGCTCAGAGATGTGGTGGATGTCCCAGTCCTGGAGACTTTCAAGGTCAGGCTGGAGTAGGCTCTGGGCAACCTGATCTAGCTATGCATGTCCCTTTTCATTGCAGGGGAGATGACCTTTAAAGGTCCCTTCCAACTCTAAAGATTCTATGATTCTATGAATCTAAACCAACAGGATTCTCTCTTAACAACAGAGTAGTAGCTTGCATGGAAACCTATAATCAAATACTAAATTTGTTCTTTTCCTTCAGCTTTACAGATCCTGGGTAAAACTGTTTATCTAGTGAGATGGGGTATAACTGGAGGTACTCTGGTGAGGAAGGTCAGGAACTGACAACCCAAATGCATACTTGTATACTTACAGTCATCGATGCCTTTTCCTCCTTTCCCACATTCCTTGTTGTACAACCGAATTCCTGTAACTAGCATGGTGAGATTTTTTAGCTGTTGCTCTTTATCCTTCTTACTGAGTGATAGGAAAGAAACCAGAGCTGTCTGGGGGAATATACTCTGCAGTGCAGCTGGAAGGTGAGAGAATAGGGAAAAAAAGTGATTAAACTTGCAAAAATATCCTCTCCTGAACAACAGCTACAGGAAGCAGAAATTCATGGCAAATGTAGACATCAAAGCTGAGCAGTGACAGTTTGGGCAGTACACAATCATGACAATTTAGCACATCTATTTCTAAAGATCAACAAAAAGGTGACAGTTTATTCTTCAATAAGAGAAGTCCAATTTCACAAGAGAGCTTTTACAGACCTATGACCTCTCTGACAACCTCAATGTCTGTTGGGGATCCCAGACCAGAGCTCAGCAGCACGTAGCTAACGATCCTTTGATACACATGCTTCATTTCCTCTTGCGTGCGGGGACGACTATCCGTGATGTCCCTGAGCAGAGGAGCCAACCTGCCCTCCAGAACACGACGATGCTCTCTGAGTAATTCAGCTACAAAAAGAAGGACAGTTAGAAAGCACTGCCTGTATTCTTTGGAATTTGACTTACGCAGACAGGACAATTCATAACCACAACCAATTTAAGGTTTCTGAAGCCGTGATATGTGAAAGACATGTACAAGGTATCATGCTCTTCTATTTAACTGCAGTGAAGTTAAATATTAGCAAAACTAGCAAGATTAGCATCAGTAGAGGCCAGATGGTTCAGGGTAACTTAAAGCAGCAATTCTGCCTTACTAGAATCCGTGAGTGCAGTAGGACACCTAACACACACACACACATTTCATACACACTTGAAGTGACATGACCAAATCTGAACATCACGCAGGATCTCACAAGTCATTTTACTGGACTTACTGAGCTTACTGCATCTAGAAGACTTTGGAACAGCTTCCCAGTTTTGCTTGTTTTTGTTTTTACTACATGCTAAGAAGAAAATACTTCCATGACAGTCCCCATCTCCTGGAAATATTTACTTCTTGTCTACTCTTATTTCATTTTCTGTGTCCCAGCCAACCCTCACCATCCCTCTGAGATAAGACATTCATTACAGCAGAGACATCTCTCCATCTCACTTTTCTTCCACTTCCACACTCCCTTGCTGAGACCATATAAAGTTATATATATATAAAATATCACTGATTAGACCAAAGCAGACTTGGTTAAAACCACAGTTGTTGAAGCTTGTTCATAGCTCTCATTTATGGATATTGATAGACCATCAGTTTCTCTTTCAGATACACCAATGAATTTCCATGTGGTGGTTCTCTATCAGATACACAGGTGCAGCCTGAGCTTTGTTTGCTGAAACACACTCACTCCTATATAATACATTTCTCCAGGGCTTGTTATTTTACTTTAGCACCAGCATTCATTTAAGAAGGAATCATTATTACCCCTGCACATAGCAGGGGCGTTGAAACTAGATGATCATCGTGGTCCTTTTCAATCCAGGCAATTCTACAATTCTCTGATCTATGATTCTATAGGGAGAGGTGAAAGTCTAAAGTCAGAATGAACTGCTTCTATTAAATATTATTATATTGAAATTACCTCTGTTTGCATAGTTCAAGTCAAAGTAAACTTGCATCTTAATCGTGCTCAGGGATGGGTTTGTTGTGTCAAGCAGCCTGGAAACACAGAGCTAAGGAGAGAGACACAGAGGTGAGCTCTTTTGAAATAGCTGGGAAACTTCTCAACTGCTCACAATTGCGTGACAGGTTCTGAAACGCTGCAGAGCAGTTTCCTCCATTCCCTAGACACACAACAAATTCTATTTATCAACCTGAGTGAACACATAAGCTTCAGCTGCAGAGCTATGGTAGAAACTGTCATTAAAGTTCTGAAAATGTTTGTATCAAAGTAAAATGACATTATAATTACTGCATATAATGATGCAGTCTCAGCAAAGCACTGACACTCACCATCCTGTCGGAATTACCTGGATAAGATTTTGCACATCTTTTTTTGTAAGGATCTGATCCACATCAAAGTCATTTCTTGGATCTAGAACAACGGCTTTCACCTAGAAATGGCCAAAAGAAAGCTTTCAATTTATATCACAGCATCTACTCCATGCAAATAACCTCCTAAGTTGTGAAAAACCTCCTCTGCTGTCAATGTTTCTTTATCTTTGAGAGGAAATAATTAAAACTGAGTCTTTTAACATTTATTTTGGTTCTCCTCGTGATTTATCAACAGTTCATGTTCCTGTCATTGCTATTCTTTGCCACAAGCCAGACTTGGTGCCCACGGCCTTTTCAGGGCCTCACGTTCTCACACAGAGTTTCAGAGGGATGAAACACCCTCCCTCTAGACCAGGTTGCTCACAACCCCTGATTTTTGTCCTTGCTTCGCCTCGGTGACAGGAGGGGAAATCTTTGCCTCAGGTAAAACCGGACACGGCGCACCACGGTAGCCCTGCCAGCAGGCGGGAATCGCTCTTACCATGAAAGCCACCACCGATTCGGAGACGGGGTGGCCGCGGGCGGCACACTGCTGCCCCGCTTGGCGGATGATGTGCCGTAGGAGCCCTCCGGACGGATCCCACGACATTCTGGTCAACGCCACCCCGGCGGCCCGAGGAAGAAAAATGAAAGCCGGTTAGAAGAAAGCCACCGGGCTTTTGCTCCATCCTCCGGCGGCTGACCCTAACCCAGCCGCCTCCTCGAGCCGTTCTTGCGGTCACGTCCCATTCCCCGCTTCCCCCGCGCTCACCTCACCTCAGCCGGCCCGACCCAGCGGCGGCAACCGGCGAGCGCGGGCTGGAAGCGGGCGCTGCCCCGCCTGTTGCCGTGGCGACCGAACCGCGAGCACGGGTAGCGCGCGTGCGCGTTTGCAGCTGCAACGCTGAGCGCTTCTGTAGCTCGGCATCCACGCGTGCGTGCTACCCGTGGGTTCGCTCTGGTAGCATAACGAACGTTTCTTAGTGTGCCGTCCGCATTCCTGTTTTAGAAACCTAGCCCCTTGGATTTAGTGTGAGGTTGTTCCAAAAGTAAATGCTTCCCACTTGCTTTCATGGAATCTGCAGCAGATACGACGAACACAATAACGCTGTTTGACGGAGCAAGTTCTCAGCTACAAAACAGTATTTTTCAACAGTCACCACCACTAGCTGTGCATTTTCACCAGTGATGAACAGGAGCCTGCATACCGCGCTCAAAAACATCTGCACCAATAGAGGGGACCCACTGCTGCTTAAACACACCACCCACCACCTCACTGTGCTCATAGCCACTGCTTGGCCTCCATAACATCCGCTTCCGATGTCATGCGCCAACATAATTAAACGGGAGGCATTACTTTCGGAGCGGCCCTGCGATAGCAAGACCTTCACCAAGAGAGATAGCAAATCCACAGGAGTGTTTCTCCATGTACAGCAGAATGGGGAGCTGTTGTGGCCCTTCCTCACACACACATCTCTGCTCAGGGTGCCGGAGTTCCCTCAGCCAGTGCCCAGTCCATAGTGGCCATGGGGCAGCACGTGTCCCTCAGGGGCTGGCACTCAGCAGCCTCAGTCTGCCCCAGGGCCTGGTGGCTGGAGTGCATTTGGGGTGCTCCTGGAGCACTCTTTCTTCTTTAATTTCACTTGGAAGGAAGGAAGAGGAAGGCAATTACACATTTGCTGAGTAAAAACGTGGTCTCAGGGGAGGTTCACATCCTTTGTTTGACCATAAATATTCAGTTACCTTGTTAGTGATCCACCTGAGGTCCCAAAGTTGCACGTTCAAAATATCTGGATTTCTCCCCTCGAATTAGTGTTAAGTTTTCATCAGCATTTCTGCAAACGGAGGCCTGGTTTATCCGGTATTCTTGCAACTAGAATCAATGGCCCTCATTTTCTCCTCAAAAATCACTGCACAGATTAGAGTCACAGAATCAGTAAGGTTGAAAAAGACCGCTAAGGTCAGCTAGTCCGACTACTGACCCACCCCCACCGTGCCCACTAACCGTGTCCCTCACTGCCACATCCACACGGTTCTTGAACGTCTCCAGGGTCAGTCATCCCCATGCCAGTGCAGCACTCCCTCTGAGAAGCTTTCTGAGAAGCACCTCAGAGCCTGCTGCATACTGAAGGTGGAGACACTCTTCCCTCTAGTGGTGTGTCTGAGATATTTGCACACCCAGCGAAGAGACTGTTGGTTTTATGCTGCAGGGATTTTAAACGTTACTTTGAAGAGCCATTAAAAGCATCACCATCACTTTTAAATCACTGTGGATTACAGCTGAACACCAGGAAGCACTCATTTAGTACTTCCATTCAGTGCTAGTGACAGGACAAGGGGAAATGGTTTTAAACTTGAAGAGGGTAGACTTAGACTACATATTAGGAAGAAATTCTTTATTTTGAGAGTGGTGAGACACTGGAACAGGTTGCCCAGTGAGGCTGTGGATGTCCCCTCCTTGGAAGCAATCAAGGCCAGGCTGGATCAGGCTTTGAGCAACCTGGTCTAATGGGAAGTGTCCCTGCCTATAACAGAGGGATGGAACTACATGACCTTAAATGTTTCTTCAAACCCAAGTCATTCTGTAATTCTACAATTTACTGTGCAGGTGACAGAGTGCTGGCACAGGCTGCCCAGAGAGGTTCTGATAGGTAAGTGGCAGGGAAACAGCCATTTCAGGCTCACTGGGGAAATGTGCAGATTCATGTGTAAGGGGATCATAGGTGACATCTAGAGCACTATTTAAACTGTTGTTAAAGGCCAGAGCCTCCCTATTAGAATATAGTAAAGGATCATTGGACTGCTCTTCTGTTTCTTCCTTCCAGCTCCATCCTTTGGCTGTACCTACCCTTATTTCCAACTGTACCATGCTCATGAATTGGGAACTTGGGTCCTGTGATTCAAATATCTCCAAGACACTTGAAGCAATATTTTGTTGGCCAAAGTTTACTTTGGCTTTCAACTTGGAAATATATATTTTTTTCTCCAGACTTCATTTGCAGATAGCACAGCACAACAGGTTTTGCCCTTGATTTGAACATTTCTGGAAAAAACAAACAAACAAACCATGGTATTGTAGAAACCCAGTTAACAAATAACTTGTTGGCCTGGGTCCTTTGACCAGCACAATGGATGCACTGTATTTGCCAGGTTACAGAGAGGGGTGGGGAGGAGAGTTATTTGTCCTTCAAACCTTTAGAGAGAAGGGAGTGGAGAGATTCCAGACATAGCATCACTGAGTGCCTCAGCTGGAAACTCCAGTGGTAGATGTGCTGTTCAGCTGCGTTCAGGAGAATTGCTACTCAAGGCTCCTCAGTAGCATTAACATTTGGTCAAAGGCATAAATAAAAATAATACACATCAAGAGCTTTTTCCGTTAATCATTCCTCTTTAAAAAAATTGCTGAAAATTAGACCTGGGACTCATCAGACACTACTTGGTGTAGATCACGTAGTTCCCATGTATACCTCCTGTTTCAAAAGAGCTGCAGTTTGGCTAGAAGCACACACTGGTATTTCATGGGTCACTTAGCTGTTAACTACTCTTTATGTCTGCGCAGCTGATAAAAAATCAGTAACTTAAATCTTTTCACAAGACTACCTTCTCACGCAGTGCTGAGCCCCACATCCCATCAGTATGCAAAAAGCAGAAAAACTGTGATACAGTAATTTACCCACAAGCTGAAGCATAAGAAACTGCTGCTGGGCTGCGCCCTGTTTGATAGGGCTTTCTTCTCCTGCTATAGGAACCTCTTTCAAAGTTATGGAAACATAACTATCCGGTGTGTAGATGAAAAAGGGAATCTTATAGGAAATATTTTGCTATGGCTCTGACCCCATTAGAAGAGAAGTGTACTAATGATGAGAGTGTAATTATGCCAGAGTTTGAAAGATGACTTCTCACTTAGCTCACTCTTTTCCTACTAGTGACATGTCACTGCTGTACAAAGGTTCTGTCAAAATGGAAGGGAAAGCTCAGTGAGTCAGGCTTGGAGGGAAAGAGGACTGTTATCCACACTCCCCCAGAAACAGAGATCTCCCTGCAGTGTTTCCCCCAGATGAGCTGGGAACCTACCCACCAAATGCACTTGCAGTTTGTGTACAAATTTGCAAATCCTTCTTGAAAATTCTGACCTGTGCTGCACACAGGCAGTTCTACTCCCAGTGCAGCTTCTCTCTTCTACAGCAGCTATTAAAGCCTAAGATCCTGCAGATTTGTGTTGAATACTTGAATAACTCTTTAAAGGTCTATGCCTGTTTGCAGCAATCTTCAGAAGAAATGCTAAGGAATGGGGGAAAAAAAGCGATATTTTAACATCATGGGATGCCTGGTAGCTGTTAGAGAACCACAGGACAGCTGAGTTAGCACCTCTTACTTTTTACAATTAAAAATGGATTCTAAGGCTTCCATAGATACACAGTACTGGCCAGATGTGATTGTTTTTTTCAGTCTCATATGTCAGGTAATCCTGTTAGCAGACATGAGAACAATATTTAGATAGAAAATACTGTGAGGAGATAGGAATCCAATCTCTGAAATTACAAGTAGAGAAAACATCTGATAAAGAAGTAATTTAGTGAAATTGTTCAGCCATAGAAATAGAATATGACAGAAAAGGACTTTGGAATAGACATTAAGTCCATTTTGGTGAAACAAAGAAAGGAATACTTTTCCCTGGCATGCACACATATTTCAGAAGGATTGTTGGTTTTGCTTTGAATCAGAGGCATATGTCTTACAAGAAATTCTGAAAATCCTTTGCTTGAGACACTTTATGATGCTGACTCCCTCTGACCTATTCATCTCCTTCCCATCACCAGGAGACAGCTGAAGGGAAATGAGATCTTACCTGTGATTCACTGGAAACTATAACCTGAAGACAGTTTAGCATTTAAATATAACTATGAAACTTCAGGTTTCACAACTTCTTTTCAAAGTTCAGTTAGGAATAGGATTAATTAAAATTCAAGTAGCCTCCGGGATGAGGTTTGAAAGACAATACACATTGACATGAGTGCATTTTACAAAGAACTCAGCATCTGACCTCTGCCAGCATCAGGCTTATACATTTCTAGAAATGGGCACCAGAGCAAAGCAAAGATTTTCATGCCAGTTCCAAGGTTGGTAGTTACACTCATTGTGATTCTATGCTCTCATTGGTATTAGAGGTAGCTAATTCCTAAGCTTTTTGGACAACCCTGAATGTGAAAAGTGCTCTCAGAAGAACTCAGGAATGATGTTTTGCTGAAAGATCACTGGGCATTTCCCTGACCTCTTGTTTATGCTGGATAACGAACATCTAAATGGCTAAGTAAATACAGAATATCAAAATAAAGCATATATGTTTACAGACTGCTAAGATGTGTTCTCTCTACATCAGACTCCAGAAGTACCTGAAAAACCCCCACAGTGTGAAACTTACCTAAAAGCTTGGGTTAATAGCTACCTCTCAACGGGCACATTTAGCAGTAAACCTGTTCATGTCCCAGTCAAGTAGAACCTGCCCAAGACACACCTTAAAATATGAGCAGCAGATCAAACATCTGTGTGATACCAGTTGGAATAACAGAGTACTCAGGGCATGCAGGCATGAAATAGCCTCTTGCTTTGTTCCTGCACGGTAGCCTTAATTCTAATAAAGACAGACATTCCTAGCACCCATATCTGTGGCTACATCATCTGGAGCTGAGGCAGTCATGAGACTATGTTGATTGTAAAAAATTCCGTACTCTGATAGCTCAGAGCAGGCTTGCAATGA